TGGGTCGCGACCCATAGTTTGGGAAACGCTGGAGTAGAGTGTTTAACGTTTTGTGTTAAGATCTATACTACTAGTTTTGATGTTAAATATCTTTTTGTCTTTGAAGAGGCAATACTATGAAATATCGATTTAACAACAGATTAATGTGTTTTATCTCGCTCACTTTGGTAGCAGGGAATCAGATTTTTAGTTTCATTACATATTAATCTACATGTAAAAAATCAATGGTAACGTTGTGGAATGAGGGCAAGTTCTATTTCCTTGTTCACAGGAAAGTAAGTAGTTAAAAGACTCCCCCTTTCTTTAATCCATTATATTATAGTAATGATTCTTTCGCTATTTTTGTAATTATAAGCACGTGTTTCAGTTTCCTAATTAACTCGTAAGGTGATCTGGCAGGATTGATATAGCAGTAAAACACGAACGAGAATCGAAACTTGCTCTTCTTGACACATGAGAAAACGGAAAGCTTGAACGTGAGATATATCACAAAAAAAAAGGAAAGCTTTTCAGTTATAAGTTTTAACTTGAGTAGTTTTGTAACACTAATGCAATTCGTAAAGGACAAGAATCAGAGTGCAATGTACTTTTAAGGTCACAAATACATATATATTATTTTAGCTATTGATTTAGATAAAGTTAAGAAGTTTCAGGCATTTTTTTATCCTACTAGAGATAAAGAAAATATAACAAATTATCTTAGAATAGTGTGTAGCTCTTGCTGTTTATATTAACGCGAAGCTACAGGATGGGCTATGCTATCTCCGCTTTGTCCACTGCGGGTAATCGAATCCCGGATTTTAGTTTAGCACATCCGGAAACTTATTGCTGACCATGGGACATATGTAACTTTCCATTCTAAACATTTTAGATAAGCAAATGATAAACGCAATATGACATGGAGTGTGTTTTTTCATAATACTGAAGCCACAACTTAATCATATCATTCAGCTGTGAAGTTATTGTTTGAAATGTGTAAAGGTATAAAAACACACACTAGTATTGAGACGTGGTTTTATTGTTCAATAAAAACTTGATTAATGCCATAATATATCAAACTTTTTATGCATGGAATAGACATATATAGATATATACATGTGATAACATGGAGAATGACATTCTCACTCGAGAAAGTAATATATTTATCGATTCTTGATTCCTAAGCTAAAATATGAACGATGTCAATATATATATATATATATATATAAGGATTGTACAAAAGATATAAGAGCTGGATGCTGAATGGTTATGTTGCCATGGTAACAATTAACAAGTCAGTAAATACACAGCTAGAAGTGTGACATTAACAACCGATAAAATGATAATAAATAGTTTTACTGTAAAACACATTAGATGGAAAATTAAGTATCGAAATAAGTTGAAAAGCCTAATTCAATAATAGTTCAGCCAGATAGTTAATAATAATGCATAAAACACAGCATATATATAGGAAATAAAATCCTATAGATATTGTATATATATGTATATATATTGTAAAATAGGTCTAGAGAAAACGCTGCATTGTGTTAAGTGTTTAGATATTTCATATTTGAACTATTTAATGAGTAAAGAATTATTTAGCAAAAATGCACACAGCAATTTCAAATGAGAGTTTGTCATGACGTCATAACGAAAATGGCATTGACATTAAATGCTGTTTACCTAGTATAATATTATTATATTAAAAATATTGTGTGGGAAATGTGGCTCAAGCTTCTATCTTCGACTTGATATTAACAAAATAAATGTCTCAATTGAACCGTTGAATCAACTAAAAGATAATACTTACACCGATGAGTAAAGTAATATGTTAGTTAGAATCTAAAATACATTTTCAAGTGAGATAAATATCTATTTGTCACTTATTTCTTCAAAGAGAAAATTGATTGATATGACGTATTTATAACAATAATTAGACGTCAGAGAAAATAGCACAACACAGAAACAAAAGACAAGTTTCACAAAATAGATGTCATTCATACTGTGCAGACTACTTTATCTGCTTAAACAGTTCCATGTTTATGTAAATGTGTGAATACTTTCTAATTATATCAGGTGCTAAAGAAACAATTAAAAATACAATTAAAAGTATAATAGATAAAACAAAAAAATCTTACGAAATAAATCACTTTTTTTAAAGAAGAAATAAAATAATTCGTTGATGGCCAGTATCTAATAGCACTTAATGTGTGTGGTATGAGTAGAATTATTACGTGAAAGAATGTTAGGTGGCGCTACATTATGTTCATTGAAGTATTACATGGTAGATACATGTGAAAATACTCTGTATTAAAAGTTATTCTGTAGTCTAATGTAACCTACAGAATTTAATGTAAAAAACTACCCGTTTCGTCGATTTTCAAATAGACATTTTGATCACCGATGTATGACTTCTTTGAACAGATATACGATTTAGGTCTAGTATTCTGGACAATGGACAATAGATGGCAGCACAATCTTTATGTACCATTCCCTTGAGCACTGCTTTAAAGGAGTCGTTTATTGCTGTCTTTGTACTCTTGCAAAAGTTAAAATTGGCTATTTGACTCTCCATTCTGTTGAAAAGAAAAAATTAATAAATAAATTAGTGTGTCGCTACTATTCAAAAATAATCAAATAAATGTAGTTGCTAATCAAGTTTAATTTCCTCTATTCTAGCATCAGCTTATTATTGTGTAGTTTAAACATAAACAAGTACAGAAAAAACTTTTCAAAAAGAAAGTAAATGTAGGGATGGCTAATATAAATCCTTCAAAAGTAATGCAAACAAGATAGTAGGGATGGCATTTGCATCATTCCTACATAATAGCACAGAAATACACAGTAGTAGAATATTAACAGACAAAATAGGGTAAATTAAACTCGATTGTGGTTGAATATTTATATATATTGCTTTATGTTAATTCTTGCCTGTGCTATTTTGTCGGGATGACGCAAATGCCGTTCCTGCTATCTTGTTTGCATTGTTTTTGAAGGATTGATATTAGTCATCATTATATTTACTTCCTTTTTGAAAGTTTTTCTTTGTTTGTTGTTGTTTTTTAATGCAGCGTTTCAATAGATATAGGAAGGTTATATTTATAACTTGGTTATAAATACAATGAGGTTCAGATTGTAATTTTTATTGTTTATCTATTATTGGCTGGTAATTTCTGTTTCACCCTGTACGTAAGCTTATTAAAGGAACACTAACATTCTGTAAAAAAGCTAACTTCAAGGGGTAATGATAACATCGTTTATACTATAATTATTTTTAATATTTTTAATTACTACTAGTTTATAATACTTATAAAAGCAGATACTCTGTTTGAAACTATGTCACCTCAGTGAAATTGGTTGACACCCTATTGATTTGGTTTTTGAGTTATCATGTAATAAAAATAGTGTAGAAGAAAGAAGAACAAGAAATTCAAACTTTTTGCTATGATTTTTACAGACATTTCTAGAACTTATGACTGAGTCATTACATAGATATTGTTATAAAAGAAAACACTGTACGGTATTGTAAAGTTCTGATGGCCTATTGAGGAGATATTTAAAATACTATTTCAATGAACAATCCGAGCCATGCCTACATAGGCAGTGCTACCGCCTGCCTGATATAACATAACACCCTTCTTTTGGTCCATTGGTTAGTTTGCTCGGACTACGAATCCGCAGATTCATGGTCCACGGCTCGTTGATGCAAAAACAGGTTCCGCAATTTAGGTGTTCTATAACAAAGACTATGAAATCTTAATATTCGGTCAGACAAAAGTAGCCCAAAAATAGGGGGATGAGTATTGTTGATTAGCTGCTTACTCTCTAGTCTATCATTATAAAAGTAGGGACAGCTTTACGCAAAAAATTCTGAAATAAACAAACAATACCCTCCTTACTTTAGCTCCTAAATTTTATATTTAAATGGAAATAGGACGTATTTCAGTGAACGCGTTTCTCATAGAAACAACTAATGCTCTAAGAAATATACTTATGTTTTAATGTTAAAACTGCCTTTTTAAAATAAAATAGCACGAGATATCTTGAACGTCTAAAGTAACTGCTTGGGTTGCTTTCGTGGAGATGATATGATCTTATATACGACTTTTAAGTTTTTTTTATTTTTATAGAATAATTGTTATTGAATTAGTAGTTTTTAAACATTGGGTATTCAGTTTGAAGCACTTTCAATTTCTAAATTGTCTGTTTAAAAAAAAAAATTAGTCTAAGAATTATGATAAATGATTTCGAGTGATGGTAACGAAAACTGATAAAGACATAACATATAATATAACAGAAACTACTCGGAAGGTCCGGAAAACCCAAAGAAGGATTGAGTTTCCTGAAATTTTTGAGACATTAAAAACTGGACATATATAGTGGGAGATCTCAAGTTTTGTGTTTGCGTAATATTTCACAAATGAAAATCTCTTCAATTTTCTTAAATAAAAAAACTAACATGCGGAGATGTTCGAACATCTCTAAATGAAGCATAAAAATATTTAAACTAATTAAAGACAATTAAAATATCAGTGTTAAACTGAGATTTTTTTGCAACAATCTGTTCATCTAGGTAAAATGCATCTAAATTAAAAGACCAGACCAAAGACACATTTATTCGTTAGTTTTCTACCCAAAAGTTTTTCCATACTTTTCAAAGATATTTAAACTAATAGCCAAGACAGGAATTAGGGTTAGTCTCAGGCCTTACTTCCAAGCCTGGATCAACTTTTCGGCGAAAAAGCCTGTGATAGCACTAACTCCTTGTCGATGGATTTCTGAGGTCAACCGAAGTTGATACTCTCGAACACTAACTAACCTCGTATTTCTTCAAGGCGTCCTCCACGGTGGTTAAAATATCCCAGAAGGCGCTTCCTCCATCCACATTAGCTGACCTTTGCTTACGGTAGTAGAAACCTGGATTGGCTGCAGCAGCTACCCCTGTTCCGGTTAGCAAGCCTGGGAGAGAACCAGGACCTAGGTTACCCAGGTTTCCAAGACCACTGTTAATCAGTGAAGAAAAAAGTGGTCCGGCAGCCGATAAAATATATAAGAACGACAGTAATGGTAAAAGCAGTAACAGAATAAGTGGAGATGATGATGATGATGATGGTGACAGCAAGTTAGTGAGGGAAGTCAAAATATTCGTTCCAATTCCAGTAGCAGCAGCGTCTTGCCTTGATGCTTCATTTTTGTTGTTGTCTGGCGTTATAGCGCTAGTAAAAACAGGGAGGAAACAACACACTAGTAACAGCAGTACCATAAGCCTCATCTTTATGTATGCCTATAGAGATAAAAATAATAATATGTGTCGTTACATGGAAAAAACGTATCCCATAAACTGGTCAAGTTAAAAGCTTACTATTATAACACTTCAAAAAACAGATTAATCGAAAAATTAGTCTAATGCTTCAGACAAATGCAAAACCACGTACAAGAATTTTGTTCTTTGACAACAAGCTATCTCAACGGAACTTCTAAGAAAAATGTCAGGTTAGTAGCTAAAACATTTAAAATCTACAACAAACTTTTAGCCATGTTTAAAAAAAAACAGAAAAAAAAGATCGTTCGAAATATTTATACCATTTCATAGCCTCAAAGTAATGACGTGAAGATTAAAAATGCAAATACACAAAGTACGGCCAAAAAGATTTAAGAATAGCAACAGTCTAAAACATTTAGCTATGTCTTTATATTAATAGAGCAAGAAAAATTCGTATACCTTTTCATTTGTCTCAAAATAATGGTGAGAAGGTTAGAATTTTGAAGTTCATGAATAATAACCATGAGCAAGAGATTTAGGTAGAGTGCTCAAATACCAACCAAAGACGGAGATTCACTTTGTACAGCTTCTAGATAAGTAGTGTACTTAAAAGTTAAATACGCTATAAAGACACTCGAGTTCCCGATCTGAGTGCTATGAAGTATGCAAGTCAACTCACAGTATATCAATATAGAAATGAATGTGACAAATGGGATATAAGCTGTAGACAAGAGAAGGACCCAGTTTATACTTATAATAATGACATAAATTGTTTGGAAAATATTATTATTAGTGGGGATTCTAAAACTATTTTCTGGCTAAAAAAATTTGGATTAAAACTGAAAGCATTCATCTTAGAAGTTTTTAACGAAATATAACTTCTAGGAAAATATGCTTTATTGATGTAAATCCTCTAATAACTGAGGGCTCACACTAGGACTTTTTCTCAAACTATAAGAAGTATGTAAATGAAATTAGTTATAGAACTTTCGTAACCGTATGACCATATTTCAAAGTGCTCGTAGTATTCTGAGAACAATCTTATATCGACAAGATGTCAAAAAATAAAAGACCATAAAACTGGATGTGCATACAAACCTGCAAGAATCCAAACCGTTTGTAAAGATTACGCTACGAGTGTGCAGTATTTTAAACACACACTAAGTTATCTCCTATATGAACACTGACTCAAGAGATCGTCTTTTTAAGAAATAAAAGTAACCAATCCTGTTTATATACGAATACAAGACGTCATAACCAATGCCGACAAAAACGCCTTTATTAGCCAGGTCTCCCTGTGTGGGAGATAAAGAAGAAAAGAGGAAATTCTAGAACGCAAGTTCGCTCAAAGTGTGACCTCTGTAACATCAAACTCAGTCGAGTCATCATTCAGGTTTTCATTAATGACGTAAGGCACTCCGGGCCAGGCGGACACGCTGAGTCAAGTTAAATATAGCTGTAATCCAGCCTTATTCGTCGGGTGTATTCACTTCTAGCCTTTGTGTGATTAATAAGGAACTAAACACTGAACAGGAGATGGCGTTGCTTTACTGCACGGAAACCTGGCCATAAACGTGTGAAAGGCATCATAAGTGTTTCCAATTCACGTACTGTAATTTCTTTAAACATTTCCATAAACGTGTGAAAGGCATCATAAGTGTTTCCAATTCACGTAATGTAATTTCTTTAAACATTTCCATAAACGTGTGAAAGGCATCATAAGTATTTTCAATTCACGTAATGTAATTTTTTTAAACATTTCTTACTTCACATATAAAATAACTTCCCACGATTCTCACACAGTGACCTGGACAAAATGATCGTAAAGTAATAATTCAGGTTCTCAGAAAATAATAATAATTGGTTGTAACTAGCCTAGAAATACGGATGTATCGTATTACGTTTTGTTCTAATTCATGACACAGATAGTGTGTCTAGACAAGAACTTTCGTTCAAAAAATTGTTCTTTATTTAGCTTAGAACAATTTATTTTATCGGCAGTTTTTTTACTCAACTGAAATTTAAATTCGTAAATTTAAAACACGGGCCAATGCTGGTAATATTTATCAATTCCAACGTACTGCATGTGTGTGTTCTTTAGAGGAATACTATACGAACTTTAACCAAATTTAGTGGAAAATCCGAGTTCATTTTAGGAATAAAGCACACACACACACACGCACACACACACACAAAGACTTATGCTTAAAGACAAGAACAATGGATAATGGACTTTAAATATAATTATTTTTTATTATGGAAATCTCAAGAATCAAACAGCTAAACAATTTTCGTGCAAAAGCAAAATTTTCATAACAAGAAAATTTGATCATCATTGTTTATAACACGTCATATAAATATATCATTTTCTCACAATTTAAAGATTATAATGCAACCTTTAGTATATATGCAAATATATATAAGTACATACATATATTTGTGTGTGTGTGTGTTTTTCATTTAATTCTGTGTCTTGTAATGATGTTACCCTGCAGTGTTGACACAAATATATTACAAAACTCCAAGAAAACGACTAACAAAATATATTAAACTTCGCAATTAAGAACGGGAGTTACTGGTTAATAAGGCAATTACTAAGTTACTTAGAAGCTGCGTAAAGCCTCTTTATCTGATACTTTCATTTATTTCCGATATATATTTGTTATTAAAGTATTCTGCTAATTTCCAGATGTTTAGATTTTCCGACAAAATACCTGTGTTGCAGAAAAGCGAGTATAATTTATAACATTACCTCATTCATTGTAGACTTATTAATTAAAAATTAAAACGATAATATTGGCAATAAAAAGTATTTCACCAATTCCTCACCAGGACTAGTGGAAACAAATATTATTATTATGTTCTAAAGTCAAGGTATTTTAATGAAGAATAAAGTTAAAAACAGATTACCTTTGAAGTTTACGTTGATGACATGAAGTTCTTTAAGTTACATTAAATAACATCAGAAGGAGCCACTGTAATGAATGTATAACCTAACCTTATATACAAATGTATTGTACGTTTAAGAAGGTGTGTATGTATATCTACATGTTAATCAGATTAATCTATCTAGTATTAGCATCAGATTTAAATATTTCTTCACAAGATCGTTAACTACAGGAAATCCACAAATAATGACAAACCAAATACATTTTTTTTTTCTCTCAGGGTGTGTTACTATGATTAAGTTCATTAATCCGATATTAAGCAAAGTTAAATCCATACCATACCGAGAGGGTACGTAAGAACCGGTACTGAAATGAAATCCGATTTCAATGGCAAAAGCAAATGAGAATGGTAACACAGTCATCCTGGACTGGATTTTATACAATTCGTTTGCTTTCCATATAAATAGAATAAAATGATAAAGTTGCTGTGATACACCAAGTCACTGGTTGAACAAATTAGCATAGATTTTCTATTGAGGTATGAAAATAGATCAAACCTTTTTTTGGTCATTTAATAATTGTCACCAGAGGGAGCTTGTTTACTAGCCTCCCTTCTGGTCAGTAGTTCATAATTAGTCATCTGAATCCTTGGGGTCTCTGACCTGGTCGTTAATCCCAGGCGTAGCTAAAGTGCTGTTTAGGTTGAAAATATCAAACTATATCTAACAGTAACGAGATAAATTATTAATGGAAATGGTAAGTTGATAATAATAAATAAAAGAATCAAACTATATCTAACAGTAATGAGATAAATTATTAATGGAAATGGTAAGTTGATAATAATAAATAAAGGAATCAAACTATATCTAACAGTAACGAGATAAATTATTAATGGAAATGGTAAGTTGATAATAATAAATAAAGGGATCAAACTATATCTAACAGTAACGAGATAAATTATTAATGGAAATGGTAAGTTGATAATAATAAGTAAAGGAATCAAACTATATCTAACAGTAACGAGATAAATTATTAATGGAAATGGTAAGTTGATAATAATAAGTTCAAACTATATCTAACAGTAACGAGATAAATTATTAATGGAAATGGTAAGTTGATAATAATAAGTAAAGGAATCAAACTATATCTAACAGTAACGAGATAAATTATTAATGGAAATGGTAAGTTGATAATAATAAGTAAAGGAATCAAACTAGATATTTAATTTGGATGAAAAGCAATGAGTTGATGACATTTTTAAAATTGCTTTAAAACAACTTAAGTTTGAATAGTAACACACTAGCAGTTTCAAATAAAGTTTATTAGATAATTCTATATCTTAATCATTACTGTAATAGCAGGAAGTCGTCCGTCGAAACACTGGTCTGACCCTAAGAGGCAAAAAATGTTCTGGAAGTTAAAAATTGTTCCAAATATCATAATGTTTTGAATCAAGCAATAGCTAATACCACATATTTCATAGTTTAAACCTGTATGAGAAACATCATTTTTTAAAAATTTTGAAACATTGCGTTAAAAAAAAAGACTACGGAACTAAATGCATTGACACCTGTATCCAAAACAGTGGTAGGAGTTAATAATGACACGAATACCTGGGTTATCGGTTATGGAAGAATGATTAATGAGGATGTGCTCTTATGGTAAAATTTATGATAATTAATTGCAACCTTGGGTAACATTCTGAAAACGACTATCATCATTACATCAGCCTGCAGAGTTTCGAGTTATGCACTGCAGTTTAATAAGAGTTCATGTATACTTTACACATACTTTTTCTTACTTTTTTGTCCCCCTTCCCCCAGTGAATCAGCGGTAAGTTTACGGATTTACAACGCTGAAATCCGGGGTTCAGTTTCCCGTAGCGAACATAGCGCAGCTAGCCTGTTGTGTATCCTTGCGTTAAAACATACAAACAAACTACATACGTTTTCAATTCATTTTCACGGAACAAAATTGATTTGTTTTGTTTTTAATTTTGCGCAAAGCTACACGAGGGCTATCTGCACTAGCCGTCCCCAATTTAGTAGTGTAAGACAAGAGGGAAGGCAGCTAGTCATCGTCGCCCACCGCCAACTCTTGGGCTACACTTTTATCAACGAATAGTGGGATTGCCCATCACATTATAACGCCCCCACGGCTGAAAGGGCGAGCATGTTTGGTGGGACGGGGATTCGAACTCACGACTCTCAGGTCATGGGTCAAGCGCCCTAACAACCTTGCCATGCCAGGCTCTTAAACATAATTACGTAGATGATTTGCTACTACTATTATTATTTTTATGATTGAATGCTTATTTCAGCAAACATTGAAAACGGTTCACGTTGAAAATCGAAATTAACGTGATATTAAAATGTCGCTTCTTTGTTATCAATAGAAAACTGAAAGTTTAAAGCCATCGATTATTTTTCTAAATTCATAGTTAATAAGTTTGTTGATTTGTTTGCTGTTAATCGCAAAATGGACTATCTGAGCTGTACCCATCGCAGAGATCGAATCTCAAACTCTAGCGTTATAAATTTTTAAACTTTCCGCTGAGCCATCGATGCCCAATTTATATGCATAATATTGCTTTAATTAGAAAAAAAAATTGAGAAAGATCCTAAACCCTACATTTTAATTATTTACGTTTGTTTGTTGTTAACCACAAAGATACACAATAGGCTATCTTTGCTCTGCCAATCGCGAGTATCGAAACACAGTTTTTAGTGCTATAAGCCATAATATTTACTGCTGAGCTACCGGGGAACATTGATTTACATATGAGTATGAATATAACTATTTTCGATAAAAATTAAATCGCCACGTTCCATTTTTGTTTTAAAATATAATATAATATTATGTAACTGATAGGCCCGGCATGGCCAGGTGGTTAGGGCGCTCGTCTCGTAATCTGAGAGTCGCGGGTTCGAATAAATTTCGTCACTCCAAACATGCTCGCCCTTTCAGCCGTAGGGGTGTTATAATGTGACGGTCAATTCCACTATTCGAGAGTAAAAGAGCAACCCAACAGTTGATGGTGGGTGGTGATGACTAGCTGCCTTCGTGTAGCTTTGCCCAAAATTCAAAACAAACAAAACCAAGCCTCTGCTCTGTGATCTCGGGCTATTTACTTCGATCTTTATTTAAAAAGCGATAAATTGCTAAAATAAAGCAATTATGAACTGTAGTCCTACTTCAGAATAAAGAAAGTAGTTCATTAATAAATAATATACAACAAATATCTTGTTCGGTTCCGATATAACTTAGATTCGGTTTGTTTGGAATTTTGCGTAAATCTAAACCAGGGCTATCTGCGCTAGCCGTCCCTAATTTAGAAGTGATAGACTATAGGAAAGACAGCTAGTCAATACCACCCACCGCCAACTTTTGGGCTACTCTTTTACTCTCGAATAGTAGGATTGACCGTCACGTTATAACACCCTCATGACTGAAAGGGCGAGCATGTTCGATGACGGGGATTTGAACCTGCGACCCCCCAGATTCTGAGTCGAGCGCCTTCCAGGCCATGAAGGCCTATACAACTTAGAATAAAATATTTTATTAATTCATTAACTAATATGAAAATGTAACAGAAATGTTTGAGAAAAGAAGCCACCTTTATAAATAGAAAAAAAAATTTATTCATTCGATAATGTTATATATATACATATAGAAATATTAGGGTGGCTTCATTTTTACTTTAAGAAATTTAAGGGTAACTGCCTTCCCACAAGTGGCTATAGACAGTGAAAGGCA